AATGAGTTAATGCAACTATATACTGCATAGATAGATTTTTAATTAACAGAAGTGATGTGGTTTATTTATAGTCAACTAAAAAATTAATCATCAATAAAGTTCTAATTAAGCATTATTTAATTTTAATCATACCGTAGTTACTAATTGAAGCAACCATTGAGATTAAATTATATTAGACACTTAATTATCTTATTTTCTAAATTAATCTATTTGTTGAGCTCTAAACAAACTGAATCAAGTCAAGTATCACATAAAGTTCAAGTCACTAATTAAAATTTTATTCGAGATTAATTTGTTCAATTTTCCAGAAAATTTAAGTTTGTTCATGAACATATTTAACTAATTAAAATTACAAAATTTGAAATATTTTTCTATCTAATAATAATATTTTATCCAATATATTAGATATTAATAACTACTTGATACATTCCCTAAAAAAAAAATTAATACTTGATACATTAAAATTTTATTTTATATTAAATTGAATTTTATTTCATAATAAGTTCTTATAAAATATAAAGAGTATAATTGTTTTTTTTTTTTTTTTTTTTAATTGAATTCTATTTCATAATATAGTTCTTATAAATATATGAAAGACGTATATTGTTTTTTTTTTCTTTTTTGTTGTGTGTGTAAACCCCGATTATTTCAACTTATTACCAGAAAATTGCCTAATTCAATCTCAGACTTAGTTGCATGTAAGGCTTTTCTCGCCTTTCCTCAGATATTTAGGTGGGAATTGGCAATCCGTAGAGCTCTTCTTAAAGATGTCCAAGCTTGCGATTGTCAACTGACCACAGATCCCGTCGTTGTAGATTGTTTATTTTTTGAAATCGCAATATCACACGACATTGCATTAAATTATCATAAAGTATGTGTAGTTGGGTCAATTCACAATCCTATCTTATTCTGTGTTTCACACTATGGCATTCTATATGATCCACACAAACAATTTAAAATTTAAATTTAAAAATTAATTACTTAATCAAATGAATATGCACATTGCAACTTATTATTTTGAAATTTGATAATAATTATGACTTTTTTTTTTTTTTTTTTTGTGTGTGTAAACCACCATTATTCAGACTTTATTACCAGAAAATTGCCTAATTCAACTCAGACTTAGTTGCAGTTAAGGCTTTTCGCCTCTTCCTGCAGATGTATTTAGTGGGAATTGCATCCGAGAGCTCTTCTTAAATGTCCAACTTGCATTGTCAACTGAACCACAATCCGTCGTTGTAATTGTTTATTTTTTTGAACGCAAATCAACGACATTTGCATTAATTATAAGAAGGTAATTTGAGTGGGGCAATTTTACAATCCTATCTATTCTTTTTCACACTATTGGCATTCTATAATCCAACAAAAATTTAATTTAAATTTTAAAATTAATTACTTAACAAATAATATCACATGCAACTATATTTTTTGAAATTTGAATTAATAATTATATTATAATTGTGCATATTATCATATATGTTAATCACAATATCTAGGTCAATGTTTGTCTCCTTGCCCATACAATTAATATTTATTAACTCAATATATAACTATAGGGCAAAATGTGATTTTCATGTGTGAAGGAAACTACTGAGGTCCATGCATGCATAAATATGGATTTTTTTGCGGTAGAAATCCATATTTAAAAAAATTAGTTGGTGCTCTTGTAATTAATAATTCTTTTAAAACTTATAGAATTACCTAGGAATGATTCATTGGAGCGTGCTGCTTAGTACCAACTGGCATATGTATCAAAGAAACAACTTATGACCTAGTAACTGCAGCATTTTGGTACTTGCACTGCTTTGTTTTTTTCTTTGTCTGCATTATCTTACATTAATTCCTACTCAATTATCATTTCTTTTTCTAACTAATTAATTACAAAAATTTTGCCACTTCTACTGGACCTATTAGCTTAGTTGTTAAGTGTCTATTCCAAGCATAAAAAATATAAGAAAAATAAAAAATAAACCTACAAGATAGTTTTTTTTTTTTTTGAAGAGCAAAACCTACAAGATGTTGGTTGAGCAGTAAGTTACTTCAATCCTCAAAATGGTAAGAATACAAGTTCGATTCTAGATAAGTGCATTTTTACTCCGAAGGAATTACACCATAAATTCAAATTTTGAGTCTTTTCATCTTTTAAATATCTCAATATTGTAAATAAATTGAGAAAAAAAAATCGACTTTAGGCCTTTTTTCTTATTAAATTGCAAATTGAGGAGATAAATTAACTTTATTCCAAAAAAAAAAAAATCTGATTTTCCATTTATAATATTTGTAAAATTATATTATTGTGAAGAAAATTTCTATCGGGAAGCAAATTCCTGTGCTGATCTCTTAATAAGGTTAGCAACATCGGTTCATCTGAGTACTCAAGATAAAAGAAAAATGGATTTATTGTTTTTCAATTTTCTTAAATATGAAGCCCTCGAAAATAAAATAAATAAGATGTGACTTCTAAAAAGTTGTAATATTTCATAATTATTTCTTATTCAAATGACAAGTGCAATGGCCGACCCACTACAACATTGTTCAAGGAGAAGGTTTTATGTCTTTGTCACCAATTAAAGTGATTATTTGGAAGTTTATGTCAATGTTGTCATGGTAATTATAAGGAAATTAAAAAAAAAAAAAGTCATTATTCAATTTTAATTAGCCAATAATTTAGTGTTTGAATGCTTGATTTTATAATAATTAATATAAGGTACTATTAAAAATTTTAAATAGTTTGAAATATAAAAATATACATATCTCATAATATAAAAAGTCCCAATTTTTTTTTAATCGTAATAATTATTTTTAATTAATACAAATAAAAAGTTAATGAAGTACCTAATCAGACTTTCATATCAGTGCTTGCACCGGCACTAACAACAATTGGTTCATTCTATTTTGGCATTTTAATTGATTTTGACATTTCTCTCTTCTTCCTCGTTGAATTGTGACATTTCTGAGCAAAATTTTTGAAACTTTCTCACCATTCTTTTCTTCCTTTAACTTTGATTTTTTCACTAACCATATTGAAAATCTTGCCGTCCTAATTCAACAAATTAGGTTAATTTGGATTCGTGAAGCCTTTAAGTTCCTTTCCTAATAAATAAATGACACTTAAGATATTTTCACAAAGTCTTTTGTGTATATCTACACATTTTGAGAATTACATTACTATAATTAATTAATTATTTAATATGGTTCCTAATTCAAGAAAATAAAAATTTTAAATTTTTGCTGCATGATTATTTCCTTGCATCGCAGTCTTCTTCCAAGTGGATCGATAACTTCAAGTCTTCCTGTCCCTTTATTAGCATACTAAACCTAGTTCTGAGTTTCTTCATCCCACACGTCATGTTACTAAACAACAAAAAGAAAAATAAAAAAGAAATTAACAAGAAAAATAAAATAAACAAGAAGTGTATAAAAAAGTTAAACTTGAAGGCAAGTGATGTCACTGCTTTCAGATCCATCATATCTCAACAAGACTGAAATTATGCTTATAATAATTAATTTAATCATTAACTAAAAAGGTTCCGATAGCTACTAATTAATTGTCTCTTCAGAAGAGAATCAACTTATATTTTATGATTAAACAAGTAATTAATTACTCATTAGAAAGCATCATTAGAGAGAAGTGTTCTATTGTTACAAGATGGCGACTTTAATTGATTTAAAAAAATTGCAAATTGGAGCATTTGAGGGTTTTGGTTGTTGATAGGTTGTCTTCTTCCTCTCTCCGTGATGGGTTTTGATTTGGAAGTTTAGTGATTGTGATTGCAAAATTTGCAATAATTTTTTTTGTTGGTTTCTTAGTTCATAAATCATTTCCAAAGGAGTAATTATTTTTGTATGAGGCAAAAGTGGTCACCATAGATGGTTAAGCCAATAATTGGTGGTGTGTTAAGCTTAATCATATATTTTAAAAATGAAATATTGTATATTAAACCTTATTTTAAGTTCAAAATGAACTAAAAAACAACAAGGGGAGATTTTTTTTTTTCATTAATTCAGCAATAAAAGATCACGCTAATTGTCATTAACTAGCTAATAATTCATCATTCCAATGTTTATTTTATAATTTAGTGATTAAAATTTCTTAACACCTCATTTATTCCTTGTTTCTATAAAAAAAAAATTGTATATATAGTTATCTGATTGATCGCACCATACATGAAAAATATGGAAAGTATATGTATAGTATTTTAATTTATAAAAATATTTTTTTATATATAGTTTTTATTTTAATTAGTTTAGTGATTTTGATTCAGTTTTTAGGTTATTTTTATTTTTTAAAGCCCAAACTCGAGATGGACTGAACTCGACCTAAATACATTATATAATTAATAAAACTATATATTTATATGAAATGCTAGAGTGAAATATAAAAATTTCTTAAGATCTTATTCGGTAATAGCTTTGAAACTGTCTTTTAACGTGTCAACACTTTATTTCTATTAATCGAAGAGTTCGGTAACATGGCTTTTAGAGGTTGAAGGTTTAGCTTTTAATTAAAATTTGTTGACAATCATACTCATTATTTTTTTTCCTCCAAATTTTAACTAATTAAACAACTAATGTTCTTTTTGCCGCTTTATGTTGCTATGTTTACCAGAACACTTATAATTAAAAACGTTATATTAACAGCTATCAGCTAATAGCTAACAACTAATAAAACAGTTAATATTGCCGACTAAACCCTAAGTTTTAAGAAAGTTTTATGCATAGGATGGGGGTGAATGTTGAGATGGCAATTCCTACCAGTAGAATAGTATAAGGAGCAGCTTTTGCTTCTCTTCTTTCCTGCAGACCCCAAGTACAAGGGGTTCATTGGCAGTGTAAACAATAATGAGGGAACTTTCTTCTTATTTTCAAACACAAATAGTTGAAGAAAACATCTCAGCAACTATAATTCTTGGGTACACATGATTCTTGGTTCATATAACATACAGTGCACTATAATGAAATGATACAGAATGTAATTAAAGATATTTTTGTTCCAAGAATTTAAACAAAAACGTTCCATATCTATCAAGAAAACTCTGTACTGTAACAGCTAATTTCCTCTGAGCAGAAAAGTATAGTAATTATAAAATATTGAATAACAAGTGTTCGAACAAAAAAAAAAAAAAAAAGAAAGAATTCTAATAAATGTCACTTTACCAGCTATGATAAAAGGAGAACTAAATTACTGGACATTTTGACTGCCACTAAATGGACCTCCCTTTTGGTTTAGAGCAACATGAACAGCCTTGGCTGCTGCAACAGCAGAATCTCCTCTCTTGACAATTTTCTCAAGTTCTCCAACTTTCTCAGACAGCATTCCGACATTTGAGTTGGTCAACTGGACCAACTCGCTTGCAGTTTCCAGAGCAGTGCATAACTAGAATATTTGGGAAAAAAGGATTAACAAGGTTATGGATTCAGAATATCAATACCGTACCAGATACTTGCCATCTACCTTCTCATGAAACATGCTGCATTTGCTGTAGTAATGAATTTGTGGTAGATGTTGCAATAGCATTGCATTATGTACTTCAAAACATAAGCCAACAGGAGATGACATGTGTGGGCATGCTTACAATTAATACAGACATGCTTCCCAGAAAAATGTTTAACATACTAAATATTGAGGCAGAGCAAGTCTCCATATCACATGCATACTTAGATATTTATCACCCTACCTTTAGAGTCAGACCTGTCCATGAATTATCTTTTCCTGCAAATGCCTCATTCAATTGGCTGTAGTTTTCCTGAAGCAAGATAGCGAAAGTTAGTTGAGGAGCTCTTGTAGATGCACCCTAGGTTGATCTAATAGCACAAGTAGCTGAATTACGCCCAAATTTTCATATGCAAGTTTGAATTATAAATAAAGTCCTCCACAAGGGAATCTATCAGTGAGGTCAAATTATCTTGTTAGTTCGGTAGATATAATCAAAGAAATTCTATACAGAGCATACTATCTTGCCCCCAAAACGCCACTACCCAGTAGCATCCACCAAGTCTTGGGAGGGGAAATCCTCTAGCATATTGGCACGAAGTGAGTACTCCCATATCAATAACCCAAGCATGCACTCTAGCGTAATTCCTGCATTAACTTAATGACAAAGGTAAGGCTAACTAGGAGTGGAAGCCAGGATTCAAGCTTCACCATTAACAATCTCTTTGCTACCCAATACCAATAATCCACCCTAGTATCTGCAAACCTAAGAAGTTATTGCACTAGAAATGGCAGATTCTTAATCTTATGCTTTTAAACGTAATTGTGGCTATCCTTAAGCTAATTCAGTTTTCTTGTTTGAATTAGATTACCCATCAATAAAAAATAGAAGTATTGTAGACAACATCTCAAATTACACTAGGCATACTACATACTAAAGACAAGATCAAATTAAATCAATTAGAACGAAATTACTTAAGGCCAACTGTTGCAGCAGAACAATTCAATGAAAACTTTCCAGAGCAGACAATTAGGTCAAAATAGTGATTGCATATGGGATTTATTAGATGATTGAATGCAATTGAAGAGAGAAAAAAGAAAACCTGGAAGAGCTTGGTAAGATCCAAGGAAGATTGAAGGGTATTGTTAGAATCAAGAACTGAAGCTGAAGAAGGGGAGGCTACTTCTTTGTAGGCTTGGTGATGATCAGATGCTTTAACACCATCTTCTTCTTTCTCGCCAAGATCGCTCAACAAATCTCCTATGCACAGCAATGGTCCTCCAACCCCTTTCATCTCTATCTCGCACTCGCACATGTACGCAACGCTTTTTAGTTTTGCATTGTATCCACTAAAACGACATCGTTTTTTTAGCTGCTGTACTTTACAAAAAAAATTACAGAAAAATAGAAATCAAAGTGTAACTGTTTATGCGGGAGCAGAGTTCCCAATTCACATTTTCATTTTTCCTCAAGGGTTCGCCTTCAAGTAGTCTTCTCTTCAGCAGGTGAGCTTCTAAAATATTAGATATTATAATGGGTGTTCAGCAGTTTTTCTTGCCTTTTCTTCTTCCATGGATTTTGCGGATTTTAGGGTTTGTGTTGTCAACAATAATCGAGTTTTTCACTAAATTAGCAAAAAATGGGAACAGGTTTGAAGTGGGTTGCTATTTTCATATCTAGGAATTAGAGGGCAATAATCAGAAATGGCAGGGCAGGAGAATGTTAAACACCTTGAGGATTGCTCGGTTGCCAAGTCAGTTCTTTTTTTTCTTTTTTTCTTTTCATTTTCAATTTTTCCTATTTAAATTTTCGTTTGTTTCTTTTATGTTTTCTGATATGTAGTTTGTTGATTGTCTTGTTTGTGTTAGATAGCTTACTGACTTCTGCATGCACTTATTTATTCGCCTTGTAGGCATTTCGTTTCAGGTGGATGAAATGCTTAGAATCCTATAGAGCCTTGCTATGCTGATATAAAAGAAGGTTTCATGATGTTGTTGCTCTTTTATGTATTAACAACCCTAACCAATCTTTATTTTTGGTGCTAGTAAAATTAATATTCTTGGATACACAAACCAAAACCAAAATCTTTTTTGTGCTAATACATATGATAAATAAATTTTTGTTCTAAATCCTTACTAGAGGCAAAGATTAACTAGATGGGTTTTCTATGTTTCATTCACATTTGCTTGGCCTTGTAGGTTGTATCAGTTGGCATTGTAATTCTTTATCTAGGTTAACCTATGATTTAATCTTGATTAGTTTGCATATTTTGATTTTCTGCTATTGAATTGATATTACAAGTTTTAAGGTACTTCCATATATGTGCTAACAGACTTTGTTGCAAATGCTATTTGGGAAACTTTGAAATTTAAATATCTTGAACCATTTGACTATAAGGTGAACTCAATTTATTCACCTTAATTAAAGACAAGCCCAAATTAACAAGCATGGTTGTGCTTCCATCTTTTAACTATTTAGCAATTCTCTCCTCAACTTCAAGTTTGTTTTCTTGTATGTGTTTCAGAAAGTCATGCCTCTTGACTCTTGAGTCATACTTATGAATGCAACAATTTACAAACGAATAGAATTTATCCCTTTCTTTTTCTCCTCATCTGTTATTCCACATTTATTTATTGTTTGAAATTATAATGTGAGAAGTAATCCATGTTGCTATCTGCAGTGCTTTAGGCACATGGTTCTTCTCGGTAGCAGGAGCTTTGGTAGCAATTCCAGTAGGGATAAAACGGAAATCCTTAGCACCTCTGGTGTTCTTTGGCACCACAGGCACAATGCTTGACATTATCATGGGAATCAGTCAATGTGAAAGAGAACATGCAGAACGCCAAGCAAAGCTGCTGGAAGCACAAAATTCTGCTGCTGAAGCCTCTGTTTCAGAAACAGAATCTGAGTCTTGAATCTCCGAAGCTGGTTTAGGCATGATCTCATTTGGCTTCATTTAAACTTGCTTGACATGGGAGACAAATTTCCTTTGGTCAATTGGTTAATCTTTGTTCTTTCACTTGGTTTGTGATTCAATATTCGGTTTTTTGCCGCCCTACTCTCTCAAGTTGTTTTTCTTTATGTAACTTCGTATTGTGGTGTCAACAAAAAATGTCATGATTGAATAAAACAGAGAGCTTTTTCTGAAGCTGCTCCATTTATGTTTTTTGAGTTATTAAGATAGAAGGTTGACTTGTAGAGCTAAAAATGCTTAGAAATGTCCAAGCGACCAACACTAATATTTAAGTAAAACCTGAAGGAACACAGTTCAAGCATTTCTTTTTCCAAGCACCAAAAAAAAAAAAAAAAAAAAATGAATAAAACACGAGAGCTTTCTGAAGCCTGCTCCATTTATGTTTTTTATATTAAGATAGAAGGTGACTTGTAGAGCTAAACCATGCTTAGAAATGTCCAAGCGAACCAACACTAATATTGTAAGTAAATACCTGAAGGACCACAGTTTTCAAGCATTTCTTGTTCCAACGCATCCAAAAAAAAAAAAAAAAAAAAAGATGATATGGTTAAATGTACATTCTTAACATCAAACACTATCTGGTTCCCTGATAGCTATGGAATTGACGATCACGAAACCATTTCAAACTTGCCCTTCAATACAGCAGATCGGCAATTCACACTGACCTTCGAATTTCAAGGGACTGTTCCCTTTCGCCTGGTAACAACAGCATTTTTAGAATTACTTTAACCAAAATCAAGTGGACATATTACACACATTTTAATTTATCATTCGTTTCCCTCTCATTCTGGTGAGCAAGAATCCACGACAGCTTTTCCCAGAAAAAAAAAAAAAAAAAAAATGATATTGTTAAATGTACATTCTTCAACATCAACACTATCTGGTTCTGATGCATGGAATTGACACAGAAACCATTTCAAACTTGCCAGCTTCAATATCCAGATCGGCATTCACACTGACTTCGAATTTCAAGGGACTGTTCTTCCCTGGTAGCAACAGCATTTTTAGAATTATTAACCAAATCAAGTGGAAATTAACATTTTTATTATCAGTTCGTTTCCTCTCATCTGGTGAGCAAGAATCCACGACAGCTTTCCCAGTACCATTAGAAATTCTCTCTCTGTGAGGATCTTTTTGGCTACAGTTTTGACCATGGTTTTGCCCTTTATAGCAGCAGTAGACTCTTTCAGCCTTGATGTTCCCAAACAAGAGCTCTGCAGCCTTGTTTCTCACATATAGCGGCATGTATTCTGATTCATCCCACACATACAACTGCAGGAAGATAATCACAATCAGCAAGAGGATTATCCCAAGATGTCAAAGAACCACCATCTACATTCTATAAGAACTGTTTTACACATTCAAACAAACTGTTTACTGCTTTCATAGTTGAGAGGGAGATATAGAATACAAGAAGGATAAATCATCCTCAAAGAGGATACAAGAAAGACAAATTTGTTTTAAAATATTTCCTGTTTATATTATTAAAGGCAGGAAAATAATAACTTAAAATATAGGCAGGATAGTAATTTCAAATCAGCGTGTGGAAGAAAACACAAAATATAGGCAGGATAGTAATTTCAAGTCAGCGTGTGGAAGAAAACACAATGACGAGAAAACGCCATTTGATAATGGGTAGAATAAACTCTTCTCAACCTAAAATGAGGTGCTCGTAGCATTTAAAATTTTAAACAATAAAATGTAGGTAAGGTAAGGTATATTAAAGAAAAAAAGAACCAGAAAATTGATACCATGAAGGGCCTATAGATCAAGCCTGCTACATGAAGGTGATCTGAGCTTTTTGGACAATAGAGCGGAACAGAATTTTGCTTGAACTTAAACCTGTAGCAGTCAAAATCGCGATCAGTAATCAATTTATCGCCAATTCGGCATATGAGTAACTAATTGCAGCAAAGTAGATTTATTCCTTCCTCACCCATTCTCTGAATCCAAAGGATAACCACATAACTGACAGCCAATACAAGTAAAATCTTCCACTATGTTACTATCTTCATTGTTGCTTATTCTCCTGCTAACAAACATCTTTTCTTCCTCATAGTCACCAAGTGCTCTCCAGGTAATTGGTAGAAAAATTTCACCTGCAGATGCATTAACTATTGCTTTACAGGAATTCCTTAGGTGCAATACTTCTGAAAGTAGGAAACAGTCCCGAGATTCACTCTGTTCTGGTACCATCCAGTTCCTTGAGAGCTTCCTCTTCTGCTTTGCAAGATATTTTCAGCAATTACTCATGAATGCACAAAATATATGCCTTCAGTATTAGCTTAATTTATAATGAAATAATACGTCATATGTCGTTTTCAGAAAACTTTATCATCCTATATGGGTAGCTCGTTCCAAGATCATGATCAGAATAACTTGATTCTACAACCTCTTAATTTCCCTTAACAGTCTTCAAACACGCAGAAACTTGAGGGTGAAAATGAGAAATGCAGCATAATTGTGTTATATTTAGAATCGTCCAGAAAATAAAGTACTAAAAATGAGGCAATTCAAATATATATAAGGAAATGAGTTGAAACAACTTAAAAGCACCTTCACAATTATTAGAAGAAAGCTTTCCATCTTTTCAAGCCCAAGTGGGCATTTAGTTTAGTTTAGCTGATAGCTGATTTGTAGCCAAAGGTTCATATGTATTAGAAAGAAAAAAGAATACCTCAATGCCATTTGATCCAATGCTGTCCAGAGCAGAACCAGCTCTCTGAACCCATTTTATAACCTTCACAAGCTTTTCCATTGTTGTTTTCCCAGCTCGACATTGCCCTATTATGTCATCTACACCTACATATATTTATAGAAATTCATTTTATAAGTTGTTGAATAGAGCTTCAAATTATCCAATCTTTCTAAACCCCAAGGTGATAAAAAGGAAAATAAAGCCACCTTTTGAGAGCAGCAATTGATAAGGATGGATCAGACACAGTAAAGATGAAAACTGAACAGTTCTAGCCTCAACAACACATCCAAATTTAGTGATTTTGACATCTGCAATTCAAAAAATTAATAACCAAAGTTAATTTCTTAAACTGAAATTTCTCAAGCCGATTGCAGTACCAAATTGGAAATTTTTAAAGGCTAAAATTATCGGAATCAATCGGAGCTTACTTTGCAACAATACGACATCACCGGCAACCGCCGTAGTTGCCATTTGCTTTTGCCACAACGAGACTGAGAAAAACGGTAACGTATCATCACCAACCTGAATGTCTGTCCTGATTACTTCTCCGCCTTTTGATAATTTATACTGCAAAAAAGCCATTTCTCAAAACTACGACCAAAAAGATAAAACATAAATAAACACAGAGACGGACCTGAACGGGATTGCATCGGTGAACAACCACGAGAAGCTGAACAAAGTCGCCGATGTGAGAAGAAGCTTTGGAGAGATCGATCAGTGGTCCGTACCATCCGATTGCCGACGTCATCTCCTCTTGATGTTAAACGTAATGAATTGTGTGGCCTTTTAATTTTGGCGCTTAAAAGAGTTTTCAGTTAGGGACTAAGGAGGAGCATTTACCATTTTATTAGACATTGGTTGAGCGTTCGGTTTGAATCGAACCGAACCAAATCATCCCCAGAATTGAAATAATCCTGATCCAAAGTATCTGTTTTATTGATAAATAGCTGAACCAAAGAACCAAACTGAAAATTGTTACCATTCTAAAGGATCATATTTAACTGAAAAATTAAACCAAAATAACGTTAATTTAATTCCAATTTACAGTTCAAATTAAAGTTTCATGTTTTAAACATGTAATTCAATTATTTCAATGTATCCAATTTTCCTCACAAAAACCCATTCTCAAATCAAGAAATTAATTCAGATTTTTTGACTAACCGAATCAAACCAATACCATCAGTTTCAATTCGATTTGCTCACCCCTCCGACATCCCATGTGTTTACTGCATAATTTATCAATTAAAATAATATTAAAATTTCATAATAGTTGCGCCATGTCAAAAATTTTGAAAAAAAAAAACAATTAGTTTCTTTTCTTTCCATTTCACCTGCAAATGATTGCTGGAAAAATAGGATGTTATTGCTCCTCCTCTCCTAAACAAGAAGGGGAAAAAAAAATTACCTTGTTATTTTCCCCTCATCCAAACATAACCTTCATCTTCCCTATTCAAACAAAAACCAAAAAATTAAAAGAGGCAAAATCCTCAGCGTTTTATTAACTGTTCATAACACGTAAGAAGCAGAACCCAGCCACCCAAAATTAAAAGTTATTGGGCTGCAGAAATTCAAATTACAAGAGAAATAAAAGCTTAAACTCGACCTCGACTCGTCAAACTTCTTAATAACCATTAGAACTGGCCTACAAAAACAAGGGCCAATCCCATGAAGCAGCTTTTGTTAAAAACAGCTACCAGAGCTAAAAGGCCGGTAATATCTACACCTTAAACTAGACGTTTCAACAGTGTTGAGAAAATATAAATGACTCTAAACCAGACTCTCGTTTACTAACTATTTCAACTATACACTACCATGCTTATCTACAACAGAGCTCGTCTTCTTTACAAGCTCTATTACCTTCATTTTCATTACCACATCAGCTCATTCAGTTGCAAATGTAATAAGCTCATATGATAACGTTTAGCCAAAATATGAGCTCATGTATAGCCTTACTCCAATATCAGTGGGTCCATCATTCCCACCAATTGCATGAAGCGCAACAGGAATTGTTGAAAGAAGACGCACGGTAAGGGGGAAAACTAAGGGATCAATTTCAGACTCTGAAATGGGATCTACATGCTGAGATGGCATGTCATTATCATCTAATTGTGTGTTACTGCACTGAATTGCACTCCCTTCAACTGCAGCAGGATCCACCTTCAGGTTGCATGGATTTACAAGCCATGCAACCTCGTTCAATGCCTTGTAATAACCAGGCCCAGCCTTTCTAACTGTGCGTTTGAATGCACATAAACTTAACACCAATGTTGATGTAGCCTCAAACCACTCTACTGTCAAGCCTTCAACTTCATCGTAATATATTCGCCGTTCAATCTGAAACCATATACACAATCATCACCATGGAAAACTAGTACAAGACAACTATATATAACCTAACAACAAAATATACCGAGGAGCAGAAAGCTACTTACAGCAAGTTTTTGAACATAAATGGACATAAACCTCGGCCCCAGACCCAAGACTCTAGCTTCTGAAAATAAAACCTAGAGATAAAATGAAAAATAAATCACCAAGTCCTGAAGAGTAGAGAGAAAAAAAGCAATAAAACAATGGAAAAAGGTACACCACTGCCGGAGGCATCAATGGAGGAAAGAACGCACCTCTTTCTTCTTCAGCAAAACCCACATGTACAGTTTCTCACAGGCATCCTTGACATGCCTGCTAGCTAGCTTTCTCTCATTACAGTAAGCAGCAACATCTGAAAGTAGTTCTGTGCAGGGAACTTTATGTTTAAGTGCTGCAGCTGAAAATGCTTCCCTACCTTCCAAGGATTCAGCCGCATTTTTATCGAAATAAATACCAGTGAAACACCTTGTGACTTCCTCTTTCATGCTTACATTATGCAATATTCTTCTACTTCTCATATACAACTCCTCTGCTTCTACAGCTGCAGCCAATGTCCGATGTACAACAATATCGGGATACCGACGCAATGGTGAAGTAAAATGTGTATAGAGAGGAACAGCAAGTCCATAATGACCCCAATCATTTGTATTATCTTTCATGACACCACTGCAAAAGTAGGTTGCCAATTGCATTGGTCTTGAAGCATAAGACATAAGAATACCATACAACATAGAATCATCCTTGAGCTTTTCCCTGATACGCTCCAATGACCTATGGAAGTGACCAGAGGAAGTGGTGTCCAATTCTAGACCATGCTTGCAACAAAAAGCTTCAAACTCTCTTAGCTTCCGCATATTAGGTTCAGGATGCCTCCGCAATAAAGCACTATCTGGGAAAGCTCTACATATAACTTCAGCAGCTGTCCTATTTGCCAAAAGCATGAACTCCTCGACAAGGAAATTGGAGTCCTTCCGTTCAGAAAACATACTATCATATGGAATTCCATATTCATCAAATAGAAAAACAATTTTGGAACTTTCAAGCTGCAAAGCCCCATCATCAAACCTTTTCTCCCTTAAAGTTTTTGAAATTTCATGGAGACTCTTGACAGATCTAATGACATCTGCCCATTCAAAAGGGCCATGCAACTGTGGCAAGCCATTTCCATAAGTACTAGAAGCATCCTCATCAATCATCCCATCAACCATATACTGAGCATGTTCATATGAAAGCTTGCAACAAGATCGTATGACAGTGCGACCTATCCAACGATCTATCACATCTCCAGCACCATTCAAGTCCCAGAAAATAGAAAAGGCAAGTCTATCTACTCCAGGCTTAAGTGAGCCTAGATTCTCAGAAAGAAGTGGAGGCAACATTGGTAATTTGCGCCGCAACATGTAGACACTTGTTGATCGACTCTGAGCTTCTATGTCTAAGGCCGTATCAGGTAAAACAAAATATGAGACATCAGCAATGTGGACACCAACTCTGAGAGTGCCATTTTGCAGCCTTTCAACTGAGAGAGCATCGTCTAAGTCAGTGGCAGTGGAAGGGTCAATGGTAAATATGCACAAATTTCTAAGATCTCTTCTAATTTTAATTTCCTCTGCTGGCACTTTCCAAGCATCACATGGTAGGCAAGACAGAGATTCAGGAGAAAAATCAGAACAACGAATTGCATTTTCATATAAAATTGCATTGATTTGTGGCTCCATTTCACTACCCCATCCAAAAATATGCGAGACATGGGCTTGTGGAAAAGGACTATCTTCGTCCCAATTATCAATTTGCGCAGCTACCAGCTCCATCTCAACTGTCGGGTCTCCTTCCTCCAACCTTTTCTTGATAGGGTCAGGTAAGCTTTTCATGAGGACCATCATTTTAGGAAATTTTGGATCAGTGGGAGTAAGTTGGATATACTCATGGGCAGAGATTGATAATGAATTTTTGTTCTTTTTTCCATCTTTCTTACAAGCTTCCCTGTAAAATAACCACTGCTTGACATATAGAAAACCAACAATAGCATCTCGACGAGGAGATCTTTCAACAATGGCCACAACTCTACCAGTAGGGCGTTTTGATGGGTATGAATTGATCATGGCACATAGCCTACCCACACCATTCATGACATCATTCTGCCCAGTAGAGCTAAAATGCGAAGAATCTGAAGCAGATGGCTGATGCCCATTAACCAAATTATAACCCACTGGACCATTCCATTCCTGACGAACACCTTCGTCAATACAAGCACCATCCTCACAATGAATTCCTTTCTGAGGAGGGGAGAAACTTCCAGGATTAGTGCACTCATAATCTTCCATTTTACTTTTGTGCTTGTACTCATGGGCTTCTACAGCCAAATTGCTATCTTCCACCGAAGAAAGATTAGTGGATGGCCCATTGGAGCCCTTCATCTTAGTCCAGCATGGCAATGGATCAACTTTGATGACCACAACGTCTCCTTCCACCTACAGATGGAAAAAGTGAAATCAAACAATTAGAAGCCCCACACCATTCAAAAGGGTGATTTAGTACAAATACATATGAATATTGACACTTCTTTTTACAACTGGCAAGTGACACACAACATGAATATTTAATTCAAAACATTAAACATTCCTCGGCGTGAAAGAAAAAATATATCTTGCATCTAACTACAATGCAACTGCTGTTTGCTGTCTAACTACTTAATAAGGTGAAAAGACATAAAAACATCATAAATTGGATAATCACTTAGAACAACTAATCCAGACTTACAGCTCTGTTCTGAGCAGCAATTCCACTGACGAGAACATCCGTGGAAACCCCATCAATTTTGCAATATGCCTGTCAATAGGAACACCATATGCAAAGTTCTAAGCAAGAACTGACAAATTAAGGCAATTGAACAAATTGTACACATTATATATGCAGGATCCTAATACATACCTCAACCTTATTGTGAGCATTCACATGAAATAAGGCCTTAAATGCATCACCTTTCTGTCAAATATAAACATGAACAAATGGATCAGCTAACCTCACCAAATATCTAAATGCAAAAAGATAGCATTAGTATTGAATTAAATATCAAACTAACCTCTAATGCCTCATTAATAGCGTCCGTGGACCAGTACGGAGTAAAAATTTTACCCCTAGCATTACCATCAAACTGATAGAAGGTGAGTGCATCCTTGTTCACGCATGTTTCAAAGGGAACTCCAGCAGCAAAAGGTTCAGGACATGAGTTCGAAAATACTTGTCCACCAAGAGCAGATGGTAATAGGGGTTCCACTTGCTCATGAATGTGCATAATAGGCATGGAATTGAAAGCAACATTTGAGGCTGAGGTCAGCCTATTCTCATCCGGTCCATGAGCATCTAATTCTGGCTGCCTTGATGAAGAGCAACTCATAGATGATGTATGATTTTTCGTTTTGCCACCATTTCCAAAGGAATGTGACAACTCCCCACGTACTTCATTTATTGAACTAGACGCTGTTCTCATGATAATCAAGGTCAAGAAAATAAAACCCAAATCACTTAACTGATAGTTACACATGCATTCGAACAGTGGGAAAAAAAGAAGTGTATGAGATAACGAGAAAAAAAAAAAATGGAAGTGTGCTATCCAAGCCCCGTTCTTTTAAGAATCACCAAACACCTAAAATTCATAATCCTATCCAAAGAAACAAACCAAAATTTTCATACATTACTGAAAGCAAGTATAGATTACTCAGCAAGCAAATCAAAAATGAGTGTAACGACAAAAGCCGACAAGAACATAAAAGGACGAGTGAAAAAATAGAAATCAAAGCTACCAAACCTAATGTTTACAACTAACTCAAAATTTAACAGTTCACGAATAACTGTAATTAACAAGTAAGCTTACAGTAAGGGATCGCTGCCCAAGCTATAAAATTCACTGAAATATCAATAAAAATTTACCTTGATTACGAGAGTTCTGCTTAGATCGACGATTAGATCGCCGCTTATTTTTCTTCTTTTCTCTATCCTCATCTCCACCATCCTCAACCCTCTCAACCACCAGAGACGACGATAACTCAGTAGCGCCCTTCATGATTCCACTCGATAATAAAAATAATTTAACAGAAAACAGAACAAAAAAAAAAAACAATAAATAATAAACAAACTGTAAGTGATAAGACACCAAAAACAGAGGCAACTTCCGATTTTGCAAAAAAAAAAATATCCGGAAGAACCGATATTCAAGGGAAAAATTGAAAAACAAAAAAATAAATAACAAAAACTATCAAAGGCAAAACCAACAACACAAGAAAGGGAAAGGAAGGAGACGGTGATAGGGTTTTATAAGAAGATAGTCTTTTTTAGAGAGAGAAAGTAGTCGGATAAAGAATTAATTAATAATAATAAAAAGGGTAGAGAGAGAGTTGGTGGTGAGAAGTGAAAAAGGGAAAAGAGACGAGATGATTGGTCGGCGAAGACAAGGTGGCGCCGACTATCGATTCTTTTGTCTATTACTCGCTACTACCACAAATACTGCTACCCTTTCTCTCTGCTCTCTTCTCATTTTCTTTCTCTTTCACTTATTTTCTTTTCCTTTTCTTTCCCTTTCTTTTGCTTTCTCTCTCTGAAAGTTGTGTTCTCTTTTTATTATTATTATTATTATTATTATTTATTATTATTTTGATTGTGGAGAGTGGCTGGGGTGGGGTCCTTGGTTCTCGCAACACGTGTCCTTTTAGGACTGGTGGGTGCTAAGTTGCGCCGTAGATACCTGTAGGCAGGGGGTGTTCACGAAACCGCCAAAATCGTACAAATCGATTCAAATCGATCTAAAAACCATGGTTTTAAAACTTGATGGTATCATTTAATTTTGAAAAATTTAAAACCGAATATTTATTTTGGTTTATGGTTTATGTGTGTGACAACTTCTAAATTCGATTCAATTCAATTTTTTTGAATGAGTATTTCTTTTGCATTGATTAATTTATATTGGATAGTAAATTAGGGGGATTAGTTGTACATTTTATAAAAAGTTCAAACGTTAGAGATTTATGAAAAATTAGATATTTATATATGCAAAAAATTATATGGGAGCAAAATTATAGGTTTTTATAATTTTTTTTAGTAATAAATGTAAAAATATGTCAAATTTTAAATTATAGATACATATTTATAAATTGCTTAATTAAAATCTTATTGAATATAAAACTTTTTTTACCATAAAAAATTTAATTTTAATAGCTATTTAAATCACATGTATCTTATAAAAAAAATTATATTAATTTATTTTGCATAATTAGTATAATATTAATATTTTTTTCTTACTAACTAGATAAACGAGGAAGTTTAAGTTTTTTTTCTTTCAAACCGCCAAACTATCAAACCGAATCAAATCAATCTAGACCGCTATTAATTTGAAAATTTTAATTATTTGATTTGATTTTAATTTTTTTCGAGCCGTAACCTTAAATTTGATTCGATTATTATACTATAACCGAACCAAACCTACCACGGACAGCCCTACTTGTAGGTGAGTCGGAACGAGAAAGTGGTGAAATTTCTGCTTTCGTACGTCTACGTAAAAGTCGTCTGGACGGTGGTGTAAATAATTAGAAAAATAAGGTGCACCTGTTTTTATTTTAATTAATTTTTAAAATTGGCATATCATAAATAATTTTTATGTACATTGTACTGAATCTGACAAATATTTTTTTAGTGATATAAATCATAGTTATAAATAATTCAAGTTGCATATGAGCTGTTAAAAGTTGGATTCCAAAAATCCTCGTTAAAGGTTTCGAATTTGTTGAATTTAAATTTATTTATTAAACTCTTTTAAAAAGTGAGCCGGACTCAAATTTATTTTTCTTAAATATAAATATATCTTTATCATGTCAATTCATTTAAAGTCCGATTCATTAATAGTTTTATAATAATAATTAATCGTGATTCTATACTTCGCACATAGATTATTTGAATGTTTATTTTTAATAAATTATATTGTTTTGTCAAAAATTTTTCATTTACATCTTCATTTATAAATTAATAATATATATATATATATATTGAAATTTCTGCTTCGTAACGTCTAACGTAGAACGTAGTCCCTGGGACGTGGTGTAAATTTAATAGAAAACAATATAGGTGCATCCTGTTTTATTTTAATTAATTTTTATAAATTGGGCATATCAAAAACTAATTTTTATGTTACATTGGTACTGAATCTGAACAAATATTTTTTAGTGGATATTAAGATCATAGTTCAAAATAGATCAATGTTGCATATGAGCTGTTAAAACACGTTGGATTCCAAAAATCCTCGTTACGGTTTCGAATTTGTTGAATTTAAATTTTATTTATTAAATCGTCTGTTTAAAAAGTGAGGCCGGTACTGCAATTTATTTTTCTTAATATAAATATTATTTATTGTCAATTCATTTAAAGTCGATTTCATTAATGAGTTTTTATAAATAATAATTAATCGTGATTCTATACTGTCGCACATAGATATTTGATATGTGTTATTTTGTATATAAATTACTATTGTTTTGTCATAAAAATTTTCTTGCATTTACATCTTCAATTTTATAAATAATGAATAAGTATATAATACTTATATATATTATCATAGTATTTTAATGTATCTGATTCATCGGTGGAATTTAATAATATATATATATATATATATATTATTCATATATTTAATGTATCTGATTTCATCGGTGAATTATAAATTTTTGGTTAACGTGTAAAATATTTTTAAAAAATATCCATATTCCAAATTTATAATAAAGTAATATGATAAAAACTAGTATTACCATGGTCTAATAACCTCTATTATTAAATAAAATATATGTAAAATAGTGTACTTAAAATCACCCTAACCAAATTTTAATTGCATTACATAAAGTCAAATTTAAAAATAATTTATTTAAAATCGCCCTAATCAACTTTTGATTCTCCATTAATTGCAATAGAACTCGTATTGGTTATACATAAATTTTATTATTATGAAATTTTATTTTTATTTGAATAAATAATATATATTTGAATGAATCTAAATTTATGTTTTGAATAACAAAAAAAAACATTAATATAATGTTAAATTCAAATAATAATTTATTTTAAAATTTTATTTATAAAAAATGAAACTACAGTGAAAACTATGGCTCCGTTTGTTTCCGTAATAATTTGTAGGAAAATAATTTGCTGAAAAATATTTTCATGGAAAATATTTTCCTTGAAAAATATTTTTCAAATGACTTATTTTAAGTTGTTTGGTTGTAATATTGAAAATTAGTTCAAAATATTTAAGTCTTTATCTCATACGGCCATAAAAATATTAATAATAATAATAATTTTATAATTTAAAATCTTTATTGTTAAATTTGAAAAGAATGTAAAAGAAAATATATAAATTATGAAAGCCACCGATAGTCGTGGTGGTGGCTGCCGGTGGTCGGTGGTAAATGTTGACTGGTGGTAGTGACTATGATGATTAATAAATTAAAAAATATGGATTTATAAGGTTTGCCAATGTCCGAAAAAATGTTTTAGTCTCTCGAGAATAAGAAATTTTTTTCCTTTAAAAATGACTATTTTCCTTTGATCAAAAAAATATTTTCCGTTAACTTATTTTCCTGAACCCCAAAACAACGAAAAATTATGAAAAATATTTTTCTGCAAGTTATTTTATGGAAACAAAAGAAGCCTATGTGCAAGTGAATTTTCACATTTATTATTAAGCTCTCAAAATTTGAGATGTAGTAAATTCTAAATTGGCCCCTTAATGGGATAAAGTTAAAGTATATATACAGAATTTCCAGATGGTTGTATTAAGATAATGATTATGAATCATATATTATTTATTAATTTGAATTTATTTAGGAATCTTATATTTTTATTTTCATATATTTTATTATTATATGTTAACATTTATAATTTTATTTTATAGGATGTGGAAATTTTGTTTTAGTCAAACCAAATTATGAAAAAAAAAAAAAAGTATAACATACGCAATTAATTGATTAGAATATTGAAAGAGAGGTTTTTTTTTTATGAACCACCGGTATCTGGACCTTACTATTAGGAACCGACTAAATCCGGTTTGGGGCTTTGTCATAATTAAGACTCTTTGTCATTTGTGTCTAGCTGGGATTGAATCCGATAGCTCTTTTCACATATGCAGCCTATATTACAAATTGAGCCACAACCCGCATATTGAAAAAGGAGATTTTTCAGAAATTGTTTGTTGAATATTCGGGCCTAACCTTCAATTTCAACCCGAACTTTTTGAGTAGTTGCAATTTCACTCTAAATCGATCTTTGTACCCTAGACATCTTGAACTTATCAATATAATTGCAATTATACCAAATTTTACTTTTAAGGTGCAGTTGCACCATAAAAGTGAATTAAACACTCTAAACTTGTCAATTTATTGCAATTGCACCCTAAAAGTAAACAAAAGTCAGAATTTTAATTAAAATAATGTAAAAAGATGGACTCAATACCTAAGTATTTAAACAATAAATAATAAAATAAAACCCAAGTATTCATATAATAAATAAAAAATCAAGATTGAATATTTACTTTTAAAATTGCACCAATTTTAAGATGCAAAAATAATGAATTAGTTATTAATTGAGGTTAGGGTTGATAAATCCAGGATGCGCCTATAAAACTCGATTTAGAGTGAAATTGCAACTACTCAAAAAGTTTGGGGTGAAATTTAAGATTAGGCAGATATTGGGTGTCTAATAGTAATGGCAGCCTTACTTTTATGCTCCGCATATAGTTATCCTTGGGATTTGTTTGGACGAAGATTATTTGAAGGGTTTTGGCGTAACGTTAAGGTAGTACAAAATTTTTAAGTTATTTGAGAAGAAGGGGAGGGTTCGGAACGTAATTTGAGAGGTTATGAAGATTAAAAATGACCATTTTCTATATTACTCATACTATTTAAAATATTCACTACATTTAAATAAAATATAATTATTATTGTTATTATTATTTAAATAAATTTTACTCACTATAAAATTTTTATTTTAATGTATTTAAAATGTAGTTAGGTTTAATTAATATTTCATCTAAAA